ATGTATTCAAAATTACTGGGTTTTTTTTTTTTTTTGCCAATATTTTATATACATTCTGGTATCAGTGAAGACACTCCCAGTCCCGAGTGTATTTTGGGATCACTCCCGGTAGCTGATATTTTGGCACAGTTTGTCAATTTACTGAAGTTCCACTGAGTTGGACTTCATAGGCGAGATCGGTATAGCTTCTGGATCTTCTCTTGATTTCTTCCCGATATGTTGTGGGATTGGGTATTGATATATGATAAGGAAAACCTGGCTGTTGGTTTCTATCCTTGTACGTTATATCGGGTTATTGGCGACATGTCTGTCAGTGATAATGGAACGATCCAGTAGAGTGTGTGCTCACTACTTTTCAAAGCACATTCTTGAGCACATATTTATAATAGCGGCACGGAAGTGGCGGAGTAAGCCGTTCTCAAGGCAATAGATTGGTGGTACCTGCTTCGCCACTTCATCAATGCTCCTTTTTGTATCCACCTGTGCGTGGCTGCTACATCACTTGTCACGTGTTGGATAGTTTCGCTTGCAGCCTCACATCTTCCTAACACGAGTCGGATGAATGGTAGAATCTACTCAGAATGTGTTTTTCTGTAGTTCAATGTTGGTACACTTGGTTCCTGATAGCTGTCATGAAGGCTTTCTGTCTGCGGAAAAGATTCCGTGCTGGAGCTATGCGTGCGACGCAGAGATGTGGACTTCTGGGTTTTACTCAGTGTGAGGGTAGCTTCCATGCAGTTGTTCGCTTTCAAAAAGGTTTTTCTCTTCCGTTTTTCAAATGATTGGTTGGAACAGTCGCGGATCAAGCTTTTTCAAGTTCAGAAGGACTATAGTTTATTATCAACTGTGCCACTGCTTGCTGAACTCTCCAAATGTTCAAAGAGTATTCTGGTGAACGCAATTTGAGAGCTGTGTCAGATTATGAGATTACAATCTTCGCCTCTTGCGACCTTGGAGGGTAAACGCTCGTAACTTGAATGGGAGATGTTTTCGGTGTTAAGTCAAGCGGTTCGAATTATTCTTGGAGGTTGTCGAGGTCGGTATTGCTGCATTTAATAACGCCAAAGGGTTGTCAGCACGGGAATAACCAATCGAATTGATGGTCTGCAAAGGTTTTGAGAAGAGTTGAGTTTTTAAGAGCCCATCGCAGATGTAACACTTCACTTTGTTTAGTATATTCTTAGGTAACAGTGGTGGGTTTGATTCGGGTGACTGCTTGGAAACCAGTATTTGTAAGTTTCATGGGTTCCATGAAGGTATTTTGGTTATTATCAGTTTCAAATTTATAACTTGCATATGACCCGATGTATTCATCTCTGCACTTATCCAAACGGATTTCATCTTAATGTCGTCAGTGAACTTCTCCGTCACGTTTATTAGTTGCCGCATATGACTCCTCCAGTGTTGCATAGGCTTCAGGTATCCATGTAAAGGAGAATGTGAGACACGAATGAAGAGTTGAGTTCCCCTTTTTAAGGGGCGATTCCATAATTAGATGACTTAAGTAGAGTGCAGAGGGGATTCAAGCCTAACAGAACATAAAGGGCTTAAAGGTCACCCTGATAAATCCCTCGGCGGATGTGTATAGTATCTGTGTGGACGGATTGTTTTCCATTAG